TTGGAGCTGAGCAAGAAAAATGTTACCGTGTATGGCCAGCTTTGTTTACCGCTATAAAACCTGGATACACCAGCAAGAAAGACTAAATGGACCCACAGTCAACAGATAATGGTTGCTAGTTTGCTGCTGAAGCAAGCAGGATTTTGTGAGGACTTGGGCTGTTTGGGACCACCACAGTGGCTACTGGCTGGGTTCATTTTTTTAAAATTTTGTTTGACTGATAGCCTAGTATTCCCTCAAGGTGAGGCTGGCCATACACTGTTAGAATTTCAACCTTTTCACAGGAAGTGGCTGAAATGCTAACAGCCTGCAGGATGAGCAAAACAAATCTAAGTGTATGGCTAGCTTGTTTCCAGTGTCAACTACACCCAAAGACATTCACACTTAAAGACGTGGCCTTTTGCCAATCAGATGACTACAGATAACTCTTTAAAGAGTCAGGAGCTGAAAGCCATGCAAGTAACACTTTCTCAGTACAGCAGGTACCTCCTGCTTTCTTTCCTATAGTGTCCCACTGTACCTTACCCTTGCTTTCAAACTACCCTGATCCACCCCCTGAAGTCAATATGCAATACTGTCTAAGGACTAGGCACACACCATAAACCCTCCTCACTTAACATTGCTTAGGGTTGGCAATTAGCAACTCAAGCACCAAGAGTGACAATGTGAAAGGTGGAGCAGCTGCTACCCTACAAGTTTTGGTTTTTTTTTCTAATGGGGCTCCCAAACCCCACAGACAACAGATTTCAGATGGTTTGCTAAAATCTAATACCCTGTGAAATTTAATGCTCCTTCCTGCGCCTCATCTATTACCACAGGACTGTCACTTTTTTTTTTACATAACAGATCATCCATGACAGGTTTTAGAAGAAAGCAGACTTGAGCATGCTTTACAATTTAGATTATGACCGAATTGCATCCTTTGTGAAAGAAACTACAGTGTTCATTTGGATAGTAAGGGTTTTAGCCAGCAGCTGATATATTTGAATTGCCTATTTAAAGTTAAAGCATATCTAAATCCAAAAATGTAATATATTGCAGCCAGTCCTTAGATGTGGTGACAGCACTGGTTTTCATTTTTTAGGCTAAACACAATTTCAGCAAGCACAGGAAATACCTAATGATCTTGCCTGAAATGTAGGGACCTGGTCACTTCCTGTGAGCTAAACAGATAGTTTACACAAGAAAGATAACATTGTTTTGCTACCAATCCTCTGAGCCCTCATGTAACGGTGATAAACAAATGCAGACATGTTTGAAGTCTAGCCTGGGTGGCAACTATGGCTCCCCTCCATAAATACAATGGTGGAATGTAGCCGCCCAGAAAGTGTTATTCACAGCATAGTTTTTAGGTGCAGACATACTTGAAGCTGACCATACACTTGCCACTTTTCCATCAGTTTTTAGCTGAATAAAAACCTGTTACTTAGACCTGAGCTGTCTACAGCAAGAGGGCACCTATTAAAGGAGAACTATGAGGTGAGTGCTTTTCACTCACCTCATAGTTCTAGCCGACCTGTGACAATGAGACTGTCACAGGTCGGCTCAGTAGATCGGGAGGTGAGCGAACACATACCGGCGTTCGCTCACCTCTCGATCCTGTCACGGCTCTCTGCCGTGACAGGGGGAGGGGCTGGATTCCCCTCTCCGATCTGCCAGCGCTGACTGGCGGAACGGACGGGGGAGGGTACAGCTGGCTCTGCCTCTAGATTGACAGCTGGCTCTGCCTCTCACGCAGCTGGGCGGATCCCGTCATTTAAGTCGGGATCCGCTCCGGCGTCTCAGTATACCGCGAGCTGTAGCTCGTGGTATACTGAGCTTAGGGTGACGGGAGGACGCTAGTTTGTGTCCTCCCGTTACCTTAAGGAGAACTATGGGGAAAAACACTGACCCCATAGTTCTCCTTTAAGGCCCAGTCAAACCAGAATGAAGTGCACTGCAATGCATGCACTTTCCTGCATGGACTACTATCTCAATACAAATTAGTAAACTAAACGCGAGATTGTAGTCCATAACAGGACAGAGCTTGGAGCGGTGACTACTTTACAACACACACAGGGACCATGGGGAACAAAAAGTAGCCACCCTCCAGAAGGAAGGACAGTGACCGTATGAATTCAGAGACTATTTGAGGATCTGCAGCTTTGTGATACACAAATAAGATACATTTTGCAAATAGTTAAGGTACTTAAGATTTACCTCCTGAGTTTAGTGTCACTTGAAATACTATTTCTTATTGATTGCTACAGGTCACATCAGTTTATATACTGTCCTTTTACTGAATGAGCCTTGGTTCAGATTCAGCGGACGCTCACCTTTTCATGCCATTGCAGTAGGACCGCACTGCTGTTGTCAGATGGACTCTCAAAGCCCTTGTAGATGTATTTCATTAGCAGGTCCACACCACTCGGATCTAGTGACTGAACGGCTTTCTCAATCTCATTTGTTTTGAATGAGACCAGCACTTTCAGCACAAGGTTCTCCGCCCGATCCTGTCATAGAAAAAACAGAAAAAGAAAAAGCAGTTGGAAAATATTCTAACCTGAAGAATTGCCGTGACATATAATTATATGAAGGGATTCAGTATTCGGATGTCCTCCATCAAACTCCTACGTGTTTAATTCCAGAATACAGAGTGATCAAAAACAGAATGTGAGCAATCACGAAATAGATATAAAGATACATACATGCATTCCCTGCTGAAAAGTAGATGTGTAATTAAACAATCCTTTTCTGTAGCGATTGCCACCTTCTGTCTGCCCATCACTTTCACCAACTTCCTGGATTCCCAGTGTGCTTTACATCTCTTTCCTGCTGCTTGATGTGATCTCATCTCTAGTTCTCAAGACCACATATCCCACCATGCATTGCTTTCAGCAAGCAATGATAATGTTACATTGTTCAGACTGAGTTGTAGTTCAGTAGGCAATCTCTGAGTTATAACACATGAAAGGCATATTCACAGGGCTGAATGAAATTGTGTCGGTAAAATGAAGCAGTACATCCTATGGGCATCTTCAAAATTCTAGATGGATATCGTTTTTAGGAGTGGGATAGAACTTATGGAAATCCAATATAGAAATATACTTTGAGTTTTTGACCATAGATGCCCTTTAACATTTGTTATTTCCCTTTTTTTTCACTCTGCACTATAGGGCTTTAGCCTGTGGCAAGAACCTATGGATTCTTGCGGCAGGAATCCGAGGTGCGTCCGTACAGATTTGGCCGCTGCGGCTATTCAAGTTAATGACAGGATAACAGCGGCAGTGTTATGATTGGTCACCTGCACTCCATTGCCAGTCATGGTGCTCGTAGTGATAACACGGATGGTGCAGCAATACCCAGTCATGGAAAACAAAGCACACCGGCACTCAAATGAAAGAGTGAAGCGTACCTGCTTTTATTAAACCTATCATGTCACAAGTGTCATACAGCCAACATTTCATAGCCAAGCAGGGTCCCTTCCCCAGGGCGTTATAGTGGCAATGTCACCCTGAAGAAGGGACCCTGCGTGGCCCAGAAACGTTGGTAGGATGACAGCGGCCACAACTGTCCGTGGCCGTCTGCAAGTAATCGTTAATGGGACCATTACTTGTGGTTCGGGATAGATTTATTAGCCACCTGTGATTCCTGTGGCAAGGATCCATAGGTTCTTGCCGCAGGAATCACTGGCCCAAGGGTGGGCAACTCTGGCCCTCCAACTGTTGTGGAACTACAAGTCCCATGAGGCACTGCAAGACTGACAGTTACAGGAATTACAGGAATGACTCGCAGAGGCGTGTTGGGATTTCAAGTAAAAGCACAGCTGGAGGGACGTAGATGCCCACCCCAGCCATAACTGCACCATCTGAATGTAGCCCGAGACTAGAAAGCAGGACACAAATGGTGCCTACACATACCTCTAGCAGCATTTCTTCTTCAGCATGGGTGCCCCAAATCCCTGACTGCATAATTGCCATCTTTACTGGTAGCATTGAGGGCTTGAAGGCCAATCATAATGAGCCAAAAGAAACATGGAGGCCGAGGGATAGCAGGGCCAGCATGTGACACTACAACAGTATGCACAGGCATTATTTAGTGTTGAAGCCTATCTGCACTGTGATCACTGATGTGGTTACTTTAAATCTGAGTTCACCCCTCAAACAGACTACTGCTAGATTCAGTTTGTCTCTGCACTCTGAATAATGAAGTTATGAGGCAGGTGGCAAAATGTAAGAAAATAGAAACATTTAATGAACACTGAATGCAGCAAATGCATGTTCACATAGTCTGCATTCTGGCCTATAACATAGGAGGAAGTGTGACACACAATGCTCATGAAAAGGAAGTTGACAAGAAAATGTCCAGTAGTCTAACATGACTAATCAGGATGCTCATTAGCCGCAAACTAAACCACTGAGAGAAACCCTGCATCTGAAGGAAGGGAAGCACGTAGGTTTTAACATTGGTTTGTTTGAAAGAACATGAAAGAACCCCCAGCAGCAATAATGACAACGTTTTTTCTGGGATACGGGATCAGTTCTGTAATTTACCGATAATGAAGTGTATCCTTTGTCCTGCTGGACTAATGCAAAAAAAAAAACTTCCTTTACTGATGCTGTATCCTTCTCACAATGGTGAACTTCTGGCACTGCGTGGGTTAAACGGGTAAAGTCACTTTCCCAGGTGAGTTTGGAAAAATTGAATCGTCAAATCCAGCCCATCTCCCTATACTTGCCTTTGACTGAGCGCTCCTTTCCCTCCGCCGATGTATTATCCGTACAAGCAGCACAACCCTGCGTTCTGTATTTAGAATTTTGCTCGCATATGACGAGGACTTATTGGTCAGAGTGGTCACCGGACCGATGAGTGCTTACCGTTTGCAAGCGGAATTCCGGACCGCAGGCATAATGTGCGTTGCGATCCAGTGTGGTCGGAGGGCGTGGCTACGGTGCCATTCACTTCAATGGCCCACCACGCCCCCTCCTGCCCCACAAAAAAAAAGAGCCAGTCGCAATGTGAGGCAGTACGTTCTGGCCAGAATGGGGCCGAAACGCACTGTATCTGATGTGAACGTGGCCTAACGGCCTTGTCTGTAATAGTGAAGGATCGTGCCGCTCACCGTCGCTCCTTAACTCCTAGAGGGGAATTTATCAAAATTGGAGCAGACAGAATCCGGAGCAGTTGGCCACGGCAACCAATCAGCTTCTCCTTTTCATTTGCAAAGCTTACCTGAACAAACTGAAGAGATAAACTGATTGGCTGCTATGGGCAACTGTTCCAGTTTTGATCAATTCCTTTTTACAAAATGCAAGATGTTCTGTCCCCTGTGAGGATCGGGATCCTGTCATTCATCCGCCCCTCACCCATTCACAGAACTCCTTGCATTGAATACCAGCAGTGATTCCATTCCAAGTCAGTGTAAAGACAGAAAAAAAAATGACAATTGTTGGAGGGGCCTTACCTTTGCAGACTGATTCTTTGCATTCATAGGTGGATTCTTCAAAGCAGCCTGTAGAGCGCCCACCATGTTCCCTGTACACAGCGGTTAAGGAAATCACAGTACAAAAAGAAGAGAATTGAAGGGGTGCTCTCTATATTGCATGCACCTGTAATGTACACTCAATGGAGAGTATGACACATATTACCCATAATCCTGTTCTGTCATCTCTAATCATCCACTGCCCTGAATTCTGATCTATATAGTGCCAGCTGTATTTTCACTTGTAAACTAAAGATTCACATGTCCAGTATGATTGCCATCAACAGGGAATGGCTACCTTGGCTACCAAGTAGGCAGCAGCAGCATTTCAACATCTTCCTGGATTGCCAGTGTGCTTTGTATCGCTTTGCCTTATGCAATGCAATCTCTACATATCCCATCATGCATTGCTTCCAGCCAGCAATGATGATGTTACATTGTTCAGCGTTGTGGACACAAGGAAGTGCGTATTCCCAGGGCCGAGTGAAATTGGGACACTGCATTGGGGAAGAGCATCTTCAATATGTCATTTTACAAATAAAGTGCACCTTGGTTCTCAACTGGTGGGTCGTGACCCAGAACTGGGTCACCGCATGCCTTCCACTTTTCTAGGCGAGAGGATTCTCAGCTTCCCCCTAGGGCAGCACTGTCAGTTCACGTGCCAAGCAGCCATTCATATCCTACTCAGTGCAGAGTGTCAGCTTAAGGTGGCGTGGGCTGGAGCTATGGGCGTCAGGGAGCTCCATCCATACATGCATTGCTTACAGCTTCCTCGCATGTCCTGTAGTGGTGCCTGGACCGGAGTGACATCACATTCTGGCTCCCGGCATCTCTACAGGGCGTGCAAGGGGGGTTGTACAAGCAATGCATTTTCTTTTTGGGAGTGTGTGTGTGTGTGAGAGAGATTGTGTCTGCGGTTATGCGTGTCCATCAGTGTTTTTGAGGGCCCGTTCACACCAGTACAGCGAGTTAATCACGCAGTCCCATGAGATTAACCCATTGTACCATGCAATCGCACCTACTACGCACTCTGGTGTGGGAGGTGCTTTGCATTGTCATTCATTTGCACGGCACCCCAAACGCACCTCCCGCCCACAGTTCAATCGCCCGCACTGAAACGCGCGGTACCACATTGCAGTGCGACATGGGTCACAACTTAACGACCGAGGACAAATGTGGGTCCTGAGGTTACACAGGTTGAGAACCACTGGGGTATACCAAAGTTATGGTCTCCACAAGCGTTTCATTGGACACCAAGACAGATCAGTTACCACACTAAAGCCACATTCACACACACATTCTCTTAACGTGCACTAAACGCAATGAAAACGAGTAACACGCTTGTGTTGCCATTAATTGCGGCCAGGAAGATGCGTGTTTTCCTCCGCATTTGTTTGTGTTAGAACGCGCACAAACACAGAAGCCAAAACCGCATGTCGCAGAATTTGCTTTTTGCCATGCGTTCAGGAGCCCAGTGAACTTCCCGGAACGCCATGGTGTGCATGCGGCCTCAAGGACCGTTCACATTAGCGGGGCTACACTACTCGGTACCACACGCAACCAGGAAGTTCAGAGGTTTTACTCACAAATGTGTGAGCGGCCGTTTATAGCAATTTTAAATGTAAGTGGCTACTTTTTTCTGTTTAATAAAACGTTCGATCGACTACACTATGAGGAGTTCTTGTCCCTTTTATATTTTCTTGATAAAATACTGATTCATGTGGTGAGGACGAGACGACTGTGAGATTATCAACTGTCATCTATGAATACCCTGGTCTGGTGAGCGCGCATCCCAGAGGGGAATTAGACGTGGACACTTCGGTGTGGGATTTTTATCATCATTAACGTGTTGCTGACACTGGAAAATTTCAATTATTTTTGGATTCACATAGAGCTGCAGCTAACGATTATTTTCAAAATCGATTAGTTAGCCGATTATTAAGTTCGATTAATCGGATAAAAAATAAAATACATTTTAAAAAATGGCTCCAGTGATGGGACTTCTAGTTTGTATTGAGATTGCAGTCCATCACAGGAGCAAGCTTGGAGCAGTAGAAGTAAAAAAGATAAAAAAAGTGTGGTGTACCATATAGTGAAATGAAAAGTGTAAAATTATACAGCAATGAATGCAGAATACCACCAGCTATAGAGGAATACAATAAATCCCAGCAATAGTACATTATAGCTGGCGGTATTCTGCATTGCAATGTATAATGTACTATTGCTGGGTGTTGTAGTCCTCTATAGCTAGTGGTATTCGGCATTACACCACTGTATAATGTATTATTGCTGGGATTTGTTGTACTCCTCTACAGCTGGTGGTATTCCTTGATTTGTAGTCCTCTATACAGTGCAATGCAGAATACCACCGCCTATATAGGAGTACAACAAATCCCAGCAAAACATTATACATGCCGTTATATATATATATATATATATATATATATATATCTGTGTATGTATTTTTCATATTTTCACATTTGAAATTGTATATATTTGATCCACCACTGATTCTAATTTTATGCACTCATGCACGATTTAAGACTTATGTTCACAACTATTACGGAGGCTTATGATTATTAACACTCATTCATTTTGCTAACACTGATTTAATTCACTCACGGGTGACTTTGAGCGCTGCACACCCAGTTACACACATTAGCCTGTCTGCTAAAATGCTGTGTTTCCGCAGATGGGCTAGTACAATGTGGCAGCTCCAGCAATGTGCATTGTATTGCACACTGCTGGAGCTGTCACTGTTCACTTCTTTGTTTTTATAACTTTATTTGTAGTGTACAATGTGTACAGTTTATTCAGGTCCCCATACAGCAGTGAGGTGTGCTGCTGTGTGGCGGCATCAAGTGCACTGCAGGGGGGGGGGAGCAGCAATCAGACCCGCATTGTAGTGTGAACATGGTACACACAGAACTATGGTCTTCTATGTGTCCTAACGGTGACCTGTGTTGATTTGGTACAGTAAAACGCAGGTCACTGCCACGTGTGTGAACAGGGCCCTAAAACACAGTGCACACCATGGCGACCGCACTTGCTGCAAATATGAACCATAACCCTCCTGTCCTGCCTAGGAAATCACAACTAAGCTCTAATCTTCAGACTGGATACTTCACATTTGGTTTTCATTCCAAGCGGATTACTCGAGTGCCAGATTTTTAAGCACGCAGCAGCTGAATGTACACACGCGCCACAACGAATAGGGTCCCCCTGTGTTCTATTTTAAGAAAACGAGGCGTATAAGTGGTGCTATCATCTATGCCAGCGAACAGGGAAGGAGCCAACTTGAAAATGCTAAACATGGCTAGATTTCCATCTTCCTGAAGTCTCAAGAACCCCACTTCCTGCATTCCTAAACGGCAAGCAAGACACGGCATGCCTTCTCCACAGCAGCTGGAACACTGTGTGCCTAGACATGACACACTAAGGTGTGTGTACAACCACAGAGCAAAGCATGGACGGAGCTACACAACACGTCATGCAGATCAAAAAACATTCCGCCTATTGTCTGATGCTCCCAGGAAAGATTACACAAAGCTTACACACACACACAGACGCTTTGGAATAACAACCTCACAAACACACAACATATATCAAACGATCTATACTGGGAAGGTTGTACGCATTCATTACAAGCTTGAGATACCAAAGTCCCCCACCCCGGAGCACATAGAGACATACGGAAAGCAGAAGTAGGCTGCAGTGCCGTCTACAATGCTTCCTCTTTACACTGAGCAAACGTGTCTCTGAAGACATGGCCGGTACCAAGGAGCAGCAATTCCGGAGCCAGGCTGTCCAATCCAGGAGCAGCAATTCCGGAGCCAGGCTGTCCAATCCAGGAGCAGCAATTCCGGAGCCAGGCTGTCCAATCCAGGAGCAGCAATTCCGGAGCCAGGCTGTCCAATCCAGGAGCAGCAAGATTTGGTTTCAGGAGCCCGCTCCATTGACCATGACTGGAGGAAACCTCAATGCTTAGGAGCTGGTTGTCATTTTTAAGGCGCATTGGCGACCTGGGATTTGTCCGGTCCTTGTGCAGTGACCAACAACCAACCGGATGTCAACGTTATCCAGGTGATGGCTCTCAGAGCAAGCAAGTCACCTGCACACAAGACTTACCCTATAGCAACGCCCTGCACTCATCTATACAAACATAGGCAGCAGTGCCGGACAAAGCACAGGAGCCATTTCTACATATACAACGTATGTCAACCTATATAAAGTGGCCATCACACACAATGCACACCTCTAGACACTATAGGTATATGTGCCCACACACATAGGGTACACCTATAGAATGTCCTCCATCTCACTCACACACCTATAGTGTCTTCCATCACACACACAGGGTACACCTATAGCGGGTCCTCCATCACACACATAGTACACCTATAGAGTGTCCATCACACACACACACAGGGTACACCTATAGAGTGTCCTCCATCACTCACACACAGGGTACACCTATAGCGGGTCCTCCATCACACACACAGGGTACACCTATAGAGTGTCCTCCATCACTCACACACCTATAGAGTGTCTTCCATCTCACACACACAGGGTACACCTATAGCGGGTCCTCCATCACACACACACACACAGGGTACACCTATAGAGTGTCCTCCATCACACACACAGGGTACACCTATAGAGTGTCCTCCATCACACACACAGGGTACACCTATAGAGTGTCCTCCATCACACACTCAGGGTACACCTATAGAGTGTCCTCCATCACACACTCAGGGTACACCTATAGAGTGTCCTCCATCACACACTCAGGGTACACCTATAGAGTGTCCTCCATCACACACTCAGGGTACACCTATAGAGTGTCCTCCATCACACACTCAGGGTACACCTATAGAGTGTCCTCCATCACACACTCAGGGTACACCTATAGAGTGTCCTCCATCACACACACAACGTGTACACCTATAGAGTGTCCTCCATCACACACACACACAACGTGTACACCTATAGAGTGTCCTCCATCACACACACAACGTGTACACCTATAGAGTGTCCTCCATCTCACACACAACCTGTACACCTATAGAGTGTCCTCCATCACACACACAACCTGTACACCTATAGAGTGTCCTCCATCACACACACACACACAGGGTACACCTATAGAGTGTCCTCCATCACACACACAGGGTACACCTATAGAGTGTCCTCCATCACACACACAGGGTACACCTCTAGAGTGTCCTCCATCACACACACAGGGTACACCTATAGAGTGTCCTCCATCACACACACACACACACACACACACACACACACACACAGAGTGTCCTCCATCACACACTGTCCCAGTTTGATATACACACTCATCCACACCTATAAGCCTGACCTACTTACCCCGGCCCAGAGCTCCCCTCCCCCATACACACCGTGTATCAGTGCGGTACACTCCCACCCACACCGGCACACAGAAGGATATCCCCGGATAGCTCCGTCCACTTCCCCCTCGTCCGGTCCCTGCTGTCCCTCTCCGGCCTCCTCCTCGTCAACGAACTTGTTCTCATCATACTCGTCCACATCCACCCTCCGGAAGCGAGCGGGCACGACATTCTTCGCCATCCTGTACCGGAGCACCGTGCAGCAGGCAGGGAGCGGCCAGCCTCAGTGCGCATGCGCAACGGCTTCCGCTCTGACTGCCGGCTTCCTGTCAATGAGTGTATGGGCTGACATCTGCCCGGGGAGGAGGAGGAGGAGGCGGCTGCCCTGTGGTGGGTGCTGAGGGCTGTACTACACATCTCCAGCTTTTTATAATATTCATTATTATTGAACTGCAGGGGCTAAGCTCATTTATTTCACACAAGGAAATGACATGCAGACTAAACCTTTTATATTTTGTAGTGTCTCAGTTTTGTATAAAGTGAGGAGGGGTTAGAACTTCTGTTTTTTTTTTATTGCATAAAGATTTTTTATTGAATTTGATCATTTTTATCCATGTGTACAAACATTGAGCGTGCATGTTCATACCGTGCAACTCCAGCTGTGCTGAAACTACAAGTCCCAACATGCCTCTCTCTCTGGGGCTGACAGACTCTTGCAATGCCTTATGGGATTTGTAGTTCCACGATAGCTGGAGTGCCGAGGTTGCCTACCCATGGCATAAGCTATTGTTCATACTACCCCTATAGCCATTTCTTTGCAGACACCGCCACCTCCACCCAGGTCTGTTTATAGGGGGGTATAGGCCGCCCTCCTGTACCGCCTCCAGGCCTCAGCAGCAGAGCCCAGGACAGCCTCAGTGCAACATCATACTGGGCCCGCCAACATCATTTCTAATGGCGGTGTTCTATCAAACTTTGTGACTGCGTTAGAATGTGAGACCGGTGACGTGGTCACACATTTTAATGCAATCCTGCCCAGTTTTTCGGCGGTGGAATGTGTGACCGGTCATGTGGTCACACATTTCAACGCAATCCTGCCCACTTTTTCGGCGGTGGAATATGTGACCGGCAAAAGGAGAAGAATTCCAACGGTTTCTCAGCTGTTCCAGGGCAGATCGTCATCGCACAAGGTACGTGGAGGAGAACCGATCTGCCCTGGAACAGGTGATCGGTCCCGAAATGTAATAACCTGGCCTTGGGGCGGCAGGTGGAGTAAATCCGGCCCTGCCTGCACATACCATGTGCGATGACGCTCTGCCCTGGAACAGCTTAGAAACTGTTGGAATTCTTCTCCTTTTGCCGGTCACATATTCCACAGCCGAAAAAGTGGGCGGGATTGCGTTAAAATGTGTGACCACGTGACCGGTCACACATTCCAAACCAGTCACAATCTTTGATAGAACAGCGGCCCCCGGAATCCTGCAGTAAACTGGATCGCCAAACTCCGGAGGAGAGGGAGAAACTCCAGGACCCGCCAGACCAGCTGCTGATTGGAGGAGGCGTGGACTGGGGGCGGGGACTGTCTATTTAATTGTGCGATATGTATGTGTCCGGAGCCGGAAGGACATCTCCAGGAGCGATAGGCAATCATAGTGATCACTACTATTTGAACTCTCACCTGTAATGTTTCTCCTCTTTGAGAAGAAGAAGATACATTGGGGGACATTTCTCAATTCTGTCACATGGCAAAGCAATGCTTAAGAGGAGCAGGGGGACATATCTATTACAAGGTAACAGCTTGATTCCTAAATTCCTCCCTCGGCTACTCTAAAGTCACATTGCGACAGAATAAAACCAGACCCCGGCCACTTCTTAAAGCAGGCGTCGGCAACCTCGGCACACTAGCTGTGATGAAATCCCAGCATGCCTCTGTCCCTGGGAGTAATGCCTGTGGCAAGGTATCATTCTCCTGAAAATACAAAGATATGTACAGTTTCGTTAACACATGCCCCATCATGCCTCTGCCTCTGGAAATCATGCATGCGGCTGACAGAGTCTTGCAATGCCTCATGGGATTTGTAGTTCCACGATAGCTGGAGTGCCGAGGTTGCCTACCCATGGCATAAGCTATTGTTCATACTACCCCTATAGCCATATCCTCCTCCAGCTCCATCTGCCAGCCTCCTGATTTACATATGTAAATAGTGACTTTCTTAAAGTCGTCATTTACATATTAATAGATATGTGGCAGCATCTGGCTTCATGATAAGTTGCTCTGATCCCAGTTATTGCATTGTGGGATGGGTACAAGGGGGTATGCACATTTGCCTCTACTAGGAGATTTGATGGAGTTCTGGAGGGGACATAGCTGAGGGCAAAGTGCCAAATGACAGCTTATAACTAAAGGCATTTTTTGTTTAATTTTGGAATGAGTGGTGAGGGGTTAGAACCGTTGTCCAGTGTGTATTCCTATCTATGTACCTGTTAGGAAAATTCACTCTCTCTAATTATTATTACCCTGATCACCAATGTCACCAAGAATAAGAATGAGGGTAAATCCAAAAGTTTGAGTTGTCACCAGAACAGGAATAGAGGGGAAACTGTCCAATCGGGAAACTTGACACGAGTAGGGATATCCTTCATATTTGAAAGCTATCTTCTCACTTACTGTTGGGTCTACAGGACAGGAAGTAAAGTGAAATCTCCCTAATAGGACACAGATGGCAAACAAAATACATCCTGGGGCTGAACTAGAAATCAGAGGGCCCCATAGCACAATTTTGTATAGGGCCCTTTGATTTCTAGTTATACCCCTTGCAGAGCCCACTTGAGATCCCACACAGCCCACCAGGGTCACCCTCAGGTGGGCTGGTCACACTCCTAACCTGTCCGCCTCCTCTTCCTCCACGCTCGCTGATGGGCCCCACCTCCTCCTCCGTCGCCGGGCCCGCCTCCTTCTCCGTCACCGGGCCCCGCCTCCTTCCCTGCTGTCGGCCATGGGCCCCTCCTTCTCCTCCCCTGCCGGGTCCGGCCTCCTCCCATTGACTCAGCTGGCGGTTCTGGAGACGAACGTGCTGCTGCACAGATTACGGTCTTCTTCAGAGCCGCCAGTGAAAGCCACCAGCAGAGGATGCCATAGCGACCCAGGCGGCCACTCGGCATCTGGCCAGGCCCCCCCTGTGCCCCGGGCCCCATAGTGGCCGCCTGGGTCACTATGGCGATTGTTACGCCACTGCTAACATCGTTTTCAACCCTCTCTTATCCTATCCAAAATGAAAAAAAAGGTTTTGACTTTCGATATACCTAAGTTGTCAGCTACCAGAAGAAGTCGAGTTCCTCTGCAAAGGATATAGAAGATATTAAAACTATACAGAAACAGTTGGAACTGCAGTAGAAATACAGATTGAATGTAATATAGTTTTAAGTCAATTAAACCGCAGCTTCCAGTTATAAATCAGAGTGCATTCAAAGCCTATAAATCCTCCTAACCCAATAACCCGTACACTATCAGGACATTCACTATATGAAATCAATTGTAATGTCATCAGGCAAGAGTCTTCATTATTTTAGTGAGCTGTTACTATCTTATCATTCAGGGAAGGGCAGGAGGCAGCGGTCTAAAGGTAATTCTCGGACTGGATAGTTACCATGCAAATCATACTAAGGGAAAACTCCTAACATAATAATAGCATATATTATTTTTACTCAAGCATTAAAGTGGACCTTTACCCATATCTTTAAAATAACAAGAAACACACCTTTAGAAATGTTTAGTAATAACAATCTACAAACACATACTTCTAGATAAGAACCGGCTTTGTATATCTTTGCACACCTTATTTCTCTTTTCTTCTGACACTGACAATGTTTACTAAGGGAAGATTACTAGCTCTCCTTTTACTTCCTTGATTTCTGGCACATGTGACTAGGACATGTGACCATGCACATCATCTCAGGGGAGGAAAATGCCTTTCCCTCAGATGAGATTTCCCAGCAATGCTCTGCTGATGACAAGGCAATCACAGTGTGCATTGCTTTGGCAAACTGAAGCCATTTTGCTTTTTCAAAGCAGGAAGTGAATGCTCTGCAAGTGTAAGTATTTCAAAATCACAGCATTTTACACCTGACATGTCTATGTTATTATTATTCATTATACATACAGGGATGCATTGGTAGAATTAGATTTTTGAGTGTAAAGGTCGGCTTTAAATGTCATTAAACATTGTCATTCCATTTCAGTCTGCAACAAGCAGACTACCTGGTACTGCCAAAAAAAAAATAAGAAACTGCAACCATGGCAAACAGGGCCGTTTCTATAATGAGGCAGCCTGGGTCCCTTGTTGATAATGGCTTGCTCTTGAGTGTCCCGGTTTTATTTTCTTGCAGTGTTTTTTTTTTCTTCTTCTGGTGCCTTTCTCTCCATTGATTGTCTTTTCCGTTTTGGTTATTGTTCTATGATACCTACAATATTATTTAATTACAAAATATGTGCATAGTGTATACTTTACCAAAAAATTGCCGCGAGGTACTAAAGTGTTCGGGTTTGGCTTGAAGAAAAGGTGGCAACCCTAGTCCCCTGGGAGGCAGCAGGTACAGCGGCATGGCTGCACAATGTTTGCAGTTTGCCTGTCGCCCCTTTTCAGGCCAGAGCGTCCCAGGTTGTTAAGAACCAGATGGGGAGATGTGTAAGGGCCATACACATCTCCCCGCCCAGGTCTTAGCCCCCTGGGATGCTCTAGCCCAGCTTCTGGCAATCAGTGACGTCAGTGAGCTGGGCGGGATGCCAGGCGGAGCTGGAGCCAGAGCTGGGCAGTGAGATGATCCACCCCCCACCCCTTAGCATGCACCACCAGCACACGCAGCTTTCTCCCAGAACGTGCACAACTAGCATCCTCGCTCCACCCCCCCTGGCCCCTGCTGGCAGTGAAAAGGTAGGGACACTCCTGATGGCAAAGATAATAAGGAAAGAAGGAAGGCCATCAATCTGGTGCAATCATAGACACTCCATCGGGTTTGAGAAAGAGGGCTCACCCCCAAAACTCTGGAGTGGAATAGAGCCAGAGGCGCAAATGTGCGCCATCTTCCCCAGTCTGAAGTGATGCAGATAAGAGCTGCACTCCATACAGCTCTGTGATCACAGTAAGTACAGTGGTGCTCATAGTGACAACGAATGGCTCCGTGTAGATCCACAGGATGATAGAAAAAAACTCCCCATCCCTCAATCATTCAAGGGGCAAATTTCACATGGGTCATAAAGCCAACGTCTCAGGGCCACGCAGGGTCCCTTCCTCAAGGCAAAATAGTGTGTTAGGCTGCAGAGAGACCACTGCT